AATAGGGAGGGAGTAAAGGGTGAAGCGGAGGGAGAAGGAGAAATAGGATAAAGAGAGAGGAGGGCTAGGGAGGAAAAATGAAGGGATGAGTTTTTATTTTATTTTATTTTACATTTAATTGAATTAGATCTTTTTACCTTTTATTTTATTTTTATTCATTTTACATTACCATATTTAACAAGTATTTAAAAATACTGTAAAAAGTAGTTTAATGATTAAAAATTTGAAATTTGAAATTTGAAATATCAAATTTAAATCTTGAATCAAATGAAAAGAAATTCAAGAAAATAAGAAAATTATTTTTTTTATATAAGTTATTATTATCAGATGTACGAAAAAAACAAATATTTGAAAATACTAGGAAAATATATATATATATATATATAAAGAAAAGGAAATAAAAGAACTAGAAACAAGAAAACGAAAAGAAAAGATCAGAGATAAAAAAAAAAAAAAAATTATATATAATCCGAGGACCAAAACATGAAAAAAAGAAAACTGAGAGCCGTTTCCGTCCAACTAGGGTTTCCGCTCTGCCCTAAAATCACTATAAATTCGAAACGCTGGTCACCTCCAACGGTGAGAGGGCGACGCCGAAATGCATTGTTGAGGCACAGCTCGTTGAGGAACAGCCAGCCAGCAGTATTTTCTTCAGTTGTCTTCTCCAAACTCTAAAGTCGTTTTTTACTTTATTATTTTTCAAAGAAAAAAAGAATTGGATGTGGCCTTCATAATCCCAGATGAGCTTAATATGAGTAGCTATCTGATTCATGGGAGGCCAAGAGCGAAGCTGGAGATTTCGCTGATAACGCCTTTCTTCTTCCTTTTTCCTTGAAGGCGTTTTTAGTAATCTTCACCATACATTTAATTTCTTCAGTACTCACTCTTCAATTGGTTTTGATACATAACTTTAATGTACAACTATAATCAATTTTTTTTGCATTAACTATTTTCAAATAATAAAAAAAAAACAATAATCAATTTTTTTGAAAAACAAAACTTTGTGTTAGTGGAACAAGGTTTTCCATTTATCCGTGGATTTGACTTTAGCCATGGTTCTCAGTGTGATGGGAGTCAAGTTTTGGGAGATTCAGTGATCTTTTAAATGGTCAGTGTATTTGAGCTATTAAATTCATGTGTATGCTTTAATTTAACAGTATTTTACAATTTCTACCCTAAAACATTAATGGGGCGCAATCCCTCTATTTTTTGGACACTTAATTTAAAAATTTTTAAATTTTAGCTAAATTTTTTACAAAGTTAAAATTTAAAAAGTTAAATTACAATTACAATTCTTGAATCCATGAAATAAGATCCAAGACTTCTAAAGTCTGAAGACCGGGGAGAGTAATCGAGTTTTGAATAGTTTGACTGAACTTTACAAAACTCTTAAATGATGCCCTTGCAAGCATAATTTTAATTTGTAATTATATAATGAGGTATAATTTGGTCAATCCATTTAACGTAGATGAGAACAGTTCTCAACCTGATGCAGAATCTCCTTGGGAAAAAATGACAACAATTCTAGTGGCTTGTTGCATATAAGCCTTGAAAGAGCAGTTTAATTGACTAAAAACTCTAGACTCCAGGCTGCAAATCTCATGTTTAAAGTTTAAACTCGAAGTTGGGATCTCATATTTAAACTCTAAGTTGGGTGAAGAAAGTTTTAGGAAAGCACAAGGCAATGTAAGGTTTTTTTGGAATATGGCAAGTTTGTATTCCTCCAAAATTCCCCTCAAAGGGGTATGTATAAATTACACCCGGGCATCCCTAGGGAGAGACAAGGCAATAGCAATATAAGTTTATGTTTTTAAACTGTAATGCCCATAAATTATACTTACTTGGAGACTAGGAGTCTGCCTATTCCTTCCTAATCAAAGACGGTTAGGGTAAGATTAAATTTGATGATCTTTTATCAAAGACAGGTAAAGGAGAGATGACAACTTTTCCTAGTGCTCTTCTTGATTCTAGATGCCGCAAAGGCTCCACCACGTCTCAAAATGAAAATAGTTGAACTAAGACCACACATAACATTCCCAAGAAAAGAAAAAAGAAAAAAAAGGTTGTTCCTAGGTTTTCCAAAATCACAGCATAAAGATAATAGAAAGATGCTGTTGAGCTAAAAATCTAACCAGGTATTGTAGTAGACGCAGGTTTTGGGGGACACTATACCATCAGGAGTGCAGATACTTATCTGTGGACAAACTCCACATGGAATGGAAGCCATTGCTCCGCTAACTCTATTGCCTTTATCAATGCGTTTATAACAAACTTTCCCAACTGGAATAGATGCAAACTCCCCAATTCCCGTACTCTTCACTTTCATCAGCTCATTATCACAAACCAAAGACTCAACAAGCTCTTCAATTTGCTTCTTTGACAATTCAACCTGTGAAACTCTACTTTTTTTGACAGCCTCCACAAATCCCTCCAGTGTAGCAACCTTTAGATTTGGTACAAACTTTAGACATGTAGCTTTTAGAACACCTATAAAATCGGAATCAAGACTGCCATCAGTATACCACGCTCCACCAGTGATTTCTGTTGAAGGGTTAAACTCTGCTGCAATGTAGTGCTTCATCCCCTTGCTCTGAAAGTTTGGCACAAGTCT